TCACTTCCATTTTATTGAAAAGTGGATAGTTTCTACATTGGCAATACAGTGGTTGAATGTCTGAAACTGTAAACTGTTCCCATTCTACTTTTATACTTAACAACAGGAACAATTTTAATGTGTCAGAAGTGCCAGCATTCAGAGTTTAAAAAGAAACACTTTCCTTATAGCAGTATTCTGGTGTGCTACAGCTGCAGTACAAATGTTATTGTATTGGACAGGACGAGACTGCCAAGTGTCCTTCAAACTGCATGTAACCCATTAAATTTTGCCATACCACTCAACAAATGTAAGCTTCAGAGTCTATGGCCACATCCAGAAGAGCGTGGCTGTGCAGTATGTGGCGCCACAGAAACATCTCTGGTGCAACATATTGCACTTTCGGCTGTTCTCCATGCTGCAAGGGAACAGCACCGGGGTCGGGGGAGAAGGGGGGTTGACCCCAGGGTCAAAAAAAACATGCAAAAAAAAAAGAGCAGCACACATGGCGGCAGTGCACAGTGCTCAAAACCAGAGCCTAGCTGGCTGGAATCGCATTCCAGCTGCCAGCCAGGCTCTGAGCGGCAGGAACACTGCTACTGCAGCTCCAGGAGGCCCCCGGAACCTCAGGTGTGGACGCGGCCTATGGGTACATCTACATGTAAAATTAATGCAAGCCAATAAAGTCTGGAGCAGTTCCTGCTGGAGTTAACTGCTTCCAGGCACAGTGTCTATACATGTGCTTGAGAGCAGCACTTTGAGCTCAGGCAGAGTACCAGGGCTGGCAGCAGGCTCAAGGGTCAGCCCCAGGTTCCAGGTGGTGGTGTTGGGTGGTAGAGGGGTTGGCTGGAGCATAAGTGCTAAACATGCGGAGCCGTGTGGCCAGGCAGCAGGCAAGGGTCTGGCGTCCTGCTGCCTAGGCTGACCAGGTGCAATTTACGCTCAGGTCAGCATTTACATGTGTTTCACTGCAGTTAATAATTCCAACATAAGATAGTACTGTTCCCAACAGTACTATCTTACAGCGGAGTTAATTAATTTACCTCACCCTAATATCTGGACACATGTAGACAGTGACACTTTACTGTGGAGGTAATTAGTCAACTAAAAGTGCAGTAAAGCGTGTGTGTAGATGCACCTGGTGGGCATATCCAGATGGGCATGCCCATACAGTTTGCAGCACCTTAGAGTTGGTTGAAGCACTGCAAACCACACGTCATGCAGGTGCACCTCATTTGCCATGCTGCTAATTTGTAGCACGGTGCCAAAATTTGACACTGAGAGATCCCAGTGTAAAAAAAAAAAAGCCACAGCCAAAAAAAAGCAGTGTGGCACACACTCTAGGAGCATGCACTGGCAGGCACCGAGGTTGGATCCTCCAGGGAGAAGCTTTGGCTGCCAGCCAGCGCATCTCCCCTCCTCTAGTTGACCCCCAGCTCCTCCAGCATGCCAGGAACTGGGAGGAGTGGGGAAACAACTGTTTCCCTGAAGTGGGGCATTTTGCCCCACATCAAACCCCACATGCAGGGGCATGTGCAGCAGCAAAAAGCAGCATCATAAATTTGTATTGGTGCTATTTTTTGTGCCTCTGCACATGCGCACTCATCTGGATGTGCCCTATATGTGTTAACATCAGAGATGATTGAAAATTGAAACATTTTTCACAAATTGCAAAGGTTCATCTTAAGCAGAGAAACTGACTTTATTTCATGTTAATGAGTTGTGACTGCCCTTTGATCCATGCAGACAGGTACTGTAACCCTGACTTGGACAAATTTTAGGTCTCCTACATCTACATTCATGGGAACTGTGATGAAGTTTGCTATTCAGTGTTCCAAAGCATGGCTTTCCAGAGGGGGGCCTGCAGGCTGCATGTATCCTACAAGGGGTTAATTTGCAGTCCTTGGGCTCTCACCCAGCTGCTATTCCCCCCTTTGCTCCAGCTACAAGAGCAGCTAGACTCTCCAGGCTCCTCTCTCCCTCCTTACACTGTGCTTCCTGCCTTTACCTGAGGGGACGGAGCAGTGTGGTAGTGTAAGGAGCTGAGGGAGAGTCTGGGGCCACACCTGGGTGAGGGATTGGGGCTACATGCAGGGCCCTCCCTGCATGGGGTCAGGGGCAGAACACATGAGCAGGTTGCAGGGTCGGGTCAGGTCGTGCAGGGATCACATTTGCCTGAGCTCACATGTAGTGCAGCAGTGGGGAAGGAGCATCTGTACAGCATGCTTGGTGTGACCTATGCAGCATGCAGCTTTGGGGGCATGTGGCCCTCAGGGGCTTAAAAGTTGGACTACCCTATTCTAAGGTATATTTTTTTTCTATGATCAGAATACAAGTCAATTGATGACTGTGAGGAGCTGGTCATCAATGCAACAGCAACACTTAATAGCCTATCGTACTACCAAGTGAGGAATTCTGCAGTTCAAGACAAGAAACTACACATTGCTGAGCGTAAGGATTTTTTTTAATCAATTCCTTTTTCCTTGTGTTTTAGAATATTGAGATAAGTTATTTGTTTTGATTATATTAGGGCCTTCAGGAAGACAGAATCATTAATAATAGTTAGCAGTATACTTTAGGACACACATTTTCCAGGGCCAAAATCTGAACTACAGACCATCCCAGCATGCATCCAAGGCCAAAACATAATACTTAAACCAGTGTGGAAGTATTCATGTAGATAAAAAAACAGTCCTCCTCCCCCAAAATTTCGCTGCCTCAGCAGTTTGTTTTCTGTTGTGTAATTTTGGTTAAGCTCTTGAAAGCCTACGTGAAAAAATATAAAAATAGCACTGTGGAATTCCATGCTTTTGACTTCAGATTAGATATGCTTCATTTCCAAGTAAAAAGGCAGTTGGTTCTTTTTAATTGCTAGCCTTGCAAACTCTGGTCAAGAGCTGAAAACAAAGCTGTTTTCTTTCTGGCTCAGAAATCGGTTCCTGGAAATAGGGATTCTGCAAATGGAAGTTTGTAGTTAAGTATAAGAACAATTTGTTATTGAGGCGGTTATGAGTTTTAGGCCTTTTATGGTAAAAACTGTACAAAAGGTAACAGACTCCTTGCTCTGAAGAATTTCCATTCTAAATAGACATGACAGTCAAGATGACAGAGAAATGGAGGCACTGAAAAGGGAAATGGCTTGCTCAAACTTACAGAGTAAGTCAATGGTAGAAATGGGAATAGGAACCCACAGGCATGTCCAGACGAGTATGCACGTGCATTTCCCTGGGGACAAATAGCAACCATGTGCCACTGCTACATGTCCCCAGGTAATGCCCCTGCACATGTACTCTGATGCGTGGCAAATTGCCTGGGTAGGGTGGGGGATGCTGGGGCCAGTACCTGGGCTGGCCCCAGAAGCCTTTCCTGGGGGCCTCCTGGGGCTGCAGTGGTGGCGATCTGGGCGTGCAGAGCCTGGCTAGAAGCCAGTGTGTGGCTGCTCTGACCAGCCAGGCTCTGGTTTCAGGTGGCACACACTGTAGCAGTGTACACCGCCCCACTTTTTTTTGAAGCCTTATTTTTTAGATACCAGGATTACCCAGTATCTAATTTTGGCTCCACGCTACAAATATCCAGCACAGAGAACTTTTTGATGTGTACCACATGTGTTTTGCAACACCTCAAAAGCCTTTGAGGCACCACAAAGCACACGTGCATGCTCAACTGTGCATGCCCCATGTCTCCTGACTCAACACCAGGGCCCTCTCACCTAGACAACATTCCCTCTATTAAATAACAGTTTTGCTGATGGTATATGATCCGGAATAGAATCCATCTTGTTCTCCCAAAGCTATACTGGCCTGATTACTAACCAAATGAGAATCAAAAGCTTATTTTATCATTGAAATAAACAGACATAGGGAACAGAACTGTGGAGTAAGGAGGACTGAGAAGGTGCAGTTTTTACCACAGCAGCACTTGGGAAAATTGCCCTATTGTCTGAAGGAGGGAAAGACTTTTTACCTAATTCCGAAATCCTGAAGGCAGGGAGTGACCGGTGGGTTTGCATAGCAGTAGATCCTTCAAGCTTCTTTATCCTAGACTCTCCTCCAATAAAGTGCTGCTTCATTTTGCTCAGGAAAAGCAGAGTCCAATGCTTCTGGCCGCCCATGTACAGTAGGACCCTTCTACTGGCTCTGGGACCCCTCATATACATGGAAAAAGGAGCTGGACTTGGTCCGTTGAAAATGTAATTAAATCTGCAGTTATTACTATAATTATACATAGTCATTGGACTTGTTGCTGTTTAGGAGACAACGTGATATATGGGAAGGAAACTTGTTTTTTAATGATGTGCAGGTCAGCAATGTCTAAAACCATTGCAGAAAAGTAACTGATAAACCATAAACTTTGAGTACATTTAGTTTCAAGATGGGCAGCTGAACTTTGCTCAAAAATAGACATTTCTACGTATTAGAATTATGTGTTCAAGTGTTTATGTGCCTCTGTTTTCTAAGGGTCTCATCCAAAGCTTATTGAAGCTAATGAAAAGACTTCCGTTGGCCTCACTGAGCTTTGGATCAGATCTTTAATCACAGGGAATCATAGTTTTCTTGTAAAGACCATGTTCCTAGTTAATCCAACGGGATTGTACATATAGTGATGTCACCTCTGTTAAAAGTGTGTTATTTATAAGACAGCCGATAGCTGGACAGTATATTTAAAGTAAATGCTCATTCTAATGCGTCTTACCTCAAGCTGATATGTGAAATGGTTAAAACATGAAAATCAGTTTATAATGCTGTCCAATCTTAAAGTAGATGCAAAGGAATCTACTTCTCTTCAACAATTCTTTTTAATAAGAAATGCTATGTTACTGGTAATGTATATATTGTGCACTGGTAATTCATGTATTGTGCCTTTATGCACACTTTAGTCTGAGTCTTTGAAAGTTCTCTAAAACATTAACGAATTAAAACTCTCCACACCTTTTGAGGGAAGGAAGTATTTATTCTGTTTACAGATGAGGAAGATGAGACAGTTAAAGTGACTTGCTGAAGGTCAGACTGAATCAGTGGTAGACAGAAGAATAGCACAAAACATTTTTGACACCAAGACCAGTTCTTTAACACTAGAGCTAGGGACAGAAGTTACACTTGAACCGGTTTAAGTGATTAGAAACTGGTTTCAACCAGTAACAGAACATAAGTTCAGTGCATATAAAATAGCTTCAAAATGGCCAAAACTGGTTTAAGATAAACCTGGCTGAATCAGACTTAACTGATTTGAGTCAAACCGGTTTATGCAACTTCTGTCCCAGACCCCTTCCTGGTTTAAGCGAAATCAGAGTCCCCCAGCATCGCAGCATGCTTTCCAGCCCTGGGCTGGGCTGTCTGCTCCAGAGAGCAGGGCTGGCCCTGGCCCTCTCCTTCCTAGCTGGAGCTCCAGCTGGCTGAGAAGGAGGTGGAGACTGCAGCCAGGAGACAGCAACATCTGCCTGGCTTTCCTCTGCCCCGCCCCCCTCGCTGCTCATGCAGGGATCTCCCCCTCCCGCCACACTCCAATGGCGGGGACCTCAGCGAAATGGACCCAAGCTGGCATCTGGCCATGCCCCCCCTCCCATGCTAGCTAATGCTGAGAACTGTCTTTGTGTCTCTCTCTGATTTTACTGGAACAAAGGCAGACAGAACAGTGTATGCTTAGAGCTAGAAGTCAGTGGCTTGCAAATGTAAATAAACCCTGCAGATAAGAAGATCTTGAAACCAATGAGAGAGATGCGTATTTTCTTTTGTAGGGCTTGAGCAGCGAGATGGGGAGGGGGAAGCCTGGCAAGGGCTGCCTTCCCCTCCAGGCACTCTCTGGCTGGGGACTGTGCTGCCCTGGGTGGGAGTCTAAACCCTTCTCTAATTATAGCATCCTGCCAGGGCCTGGGCACATCCCCTCTCAGCTCAGCACTGTGGAAGGGAAGGCAGGGCTCACTCTGGTGCCCCCCAACTTCTAGCCTGAGCCACTGCAGACATGTGCCTGCATTTCCCGATTCAAAAGTGAATGTCTTTCCACTTGCAAATCAGTTCAGGCTCTGCAGGTTAGACTAACCTGCAAATATTGAATCAATTCAGGCTCAGACTTTTTGAATGTCTGTCCCTAGCCAGGATAATGCTACCTCAGATTTTTATCTCTTAAGATAGGACTCTTTTAAAAATGCTTTCGTTCCCATGTTTGTAACAGTATTTTAGATTTCATGATGAATTCAGTTCTGCAAGTCTATTTGCTGAGCAGATGGCTTTGCAGAACCATAGAACACAATAGAGTGGTGGAAATACAGATTGAAAATATCCTAGAGCCAACGATGCCCAAAAGCTATTGATCAGAAGCTAATTCCACCTCTTTTCCATACGAGAGGAACCAACCATTTTTACCTACTGCCATCTCCCTGGTTGAATTGAGCAGTTTGTAGGAGAGTTAAAGCCCTTTTAGCCAGATGGTCAACAAGTTGCTTCTCCTAGGAAACATTTTAAGACATGCTGCTGTTTGATGTACCTTGGGTAGATTTTGGAGAAAAAAGATTATCACTTCAGAAACTTCTGAATCAAATTTAACCCAACTCTGGCAACAGCCAAAGGAATGAGAGGGAAGCCAACTTCTTCTCTTTCCTCTGTGGCAAATGTATAGACATTGTCTGTCATGTAATCCCTTCTGTATTGAGTGACAGTCTTAGTGGTTCTATCTTTCATCATGGAGGCTTTCTGTGAAGGTTGATGAATGATGGATCCTGCAGTGCTCCATTACTGTGCAATGAAATCTTCCAGGGCAAATTGCCCCTTCCAGGCAATGGTGGAGACCCAGCTGTTTCTTCTAAAAAAGTCATGCAACCTACTCAATATGAAGTTAACAGGGCAGGGAGGTGGCCAGCAGGAAAAGCCTTCAGATAAACTGCAGTGTCAATAAATTGTGCAGGCTGTATTTGAGTTAATGCTTTGTATTTGTAAATATAATTATATTGTAATAGATCATGGTCCAATAAGACAGAGTTCTGTCATTCTTAATAAACTTCCTTTGCCATCAGTAGGAATATGGTTCAAGTAAAGGATTCATTTAACATCATCCTCCATTTCTGTCAACAAAGCCACCATCATTTCTGCCCAATTTGCTTGCTATCTTTGACTCCCTTCTGCTTCCCCTCCACACACTGATGTTATCCCTAAATCCTGCTGTTTTCCGTATGGAGTATGTCCAAAATCCATCCACTCCTCTTGGTTCCTTCTGCAGAAACCTCTGTCTGAACCCAGCCATTTCTCATTTTGTGGCAATCACCTCTTCTCTGCCCTCTACCTGTGCCTTTTCTATCTCTTTAGTCATGCCAGTCTTCCAATCTCTGGCAGAACTGGGGATAGCAATCTGATTAAACAGTTCCTTTTGTGTTCTAAATCCATTCCTAACCAATCCTTCTCTAGGTCACTCCCAGGTCTACAGTGAGCCAGTGTACCATATTTCTCTACCCATTGAATAAAAGCCATTCCAGGAAATATTGACTAAGCAGATATTCAAACAATGGAATAACCTGTACATATGCTCATGCTTGCCACTTCATTTTTTTTGTGTCCCATCCTACATTTACGTGTTCCATTTTGTTTGTAGATCCGTCAGCAAAGAGATTTATCCTCATGTTTATCTGTAAAGAATGAAGAATGCATTTTGTGCTATATATAAGTAATGGTAATTGTACTTTTCTGTTTCTCTGCAAATCAATAGTGCTTTTAAAACTGCTAATGAGCAGCAATATGGATGGAATTCTGGAGGCTGTGAGAGTCTTTGGCAATCTTTCCCAGTACCATGAAATCTGTGACTTCATTGTGAAGAGAAAGAGTGAGTTCCTATTGCATAAGTAGTGATGCTTTTTAACCTATTTAGGTGGATGCTTATAATTCTAAACATAAGCAAGCAATCTTAAGAGGTGTGACTGTAATGTAGAATTGAAAAATCCAGTAGCCAGAGTACCAACAAGAATAATGAGTCCACTTTTACTAGAGCATTATTGAAACCAAAGTTACTTGAGGGAGAAAGTGCATTGAAACTTGTTGCACAGAAAAAAAATGCAGAAAGTTTTTTTTTTCCTTTTTAAATTATTATAAACAATTTTGAAATTTCTCGTTAGCTCTTCCTTAGCATCCACATTATTGATTCTGTCAGCAGTGAATCAGTATAATAAAATAAAATCTAAGCATTTTTAAAAGTTTGGATTTACAGGACCCTGATTTTTGTATGTGACTATGCTTCAAGTGCTCATTTGTATACTTTCAAAAACATTTAATGGCCTCATCAAAAGAAAACAAAAAAGTGTAAATGTAAGACCCACCCCCCCCGGCCCCCGCAGTAGTCTGTCATTTTTTCCTTTTGATGGATGAGAAACCCTAGAGCAAATGACAGCTCCTTCGCCATCCAGAGAAAGTATCTTGTAAAAGTTTAATTACTGCCGCTTCTCTATAATCTCCTTGTGTTATGACATCCATGGGCTGATCTAGGATTTTGAAAAGGTGGTGCAAATGGTGTGGTGAATTATTACATATACTACAACATATATTTTTCTCCAGTTAGAGAGAAACTAGAAACATTAGTAATATGGTAGGGGCCCAGGGCTATATTTTTTGGTTTAAGAGCAAAGCAAAAAACAAATGTAACTATTGCAATGTGTACTAATTAGCTAGCTTTATAAATAAAGAAGAAAAAAACACTACAACCTACGCAAAACAGTATAAAAATATTGTTTTATTGGTCATGTGGTCATTATAGTTAAATGTACATCTCTTAATAAGATTCATAATACAATACCTAGCCTTCTTGAGTATCTTGACAGTATTTCCAACACTTCAGTCAGTCATGTCCACACTTGAGTAAAGGTTTTTAGCTTGAATTAAACAGTCTGCAGGGATAACTAACCAATAATAACTAACAGATAGCAAAATTGCAGAAGAAACGATAGCTTGATTAATGGAACATCAAAATCATTAAAAAAGAGAGAGGTGGGTTCATTAACCACTCTGGAGTGGAGAGAGATTAACAGGAATCAGATGCATTAAAATGAGGCATAGAAACAATTGACTCCCTCATCACTGCCTGAATTGAAATGCTGCTGCCTCTCCCAGGCAGTTGGTTTTTAAAGTTTGAGTGGAACAGGAATCAAAGTGGGGTGCCACTGTAACACTGCTGCTACCCTCCCCCACCCAGATCCACCCCTGACAACATCTCTCTCCTTTCGAGCTCTGTCTTGAAGTGTTCAAAGATCTAGTTCCTGCTG